GCTTTATGACTCAAAGCTGAACTCGGGCTTTGGACCAAAAGATTCTAAGTGTTAGTAAAATCAGTTCGTTATTGCTGTTATTTATATAGAATAAGAAAAGTGAAAATGTCCCAAAGCCCCATCCTTTTAAACTTGGATGTAAGATTTCATGACCTTTTATCACCCCAAATGTATAGAGTAGTTACAAAATCTTTAAAGCAGATGTATGTGAGAAATCACTGAATTCATGACACACTCGGTTCAAAAATGAAAACTGAATTCAAAAATGACACTCCCAAATTCCTTCATAGAGGCTACACTGCACTAAAACATCAAAAGAAGAATAACATCTAATCACAACAAATGTGAGGCGTAATTTTAAATTCCAACTGCAATTTGCAAATTACCTTTGGCCTGTATTGCACTGAGAATGTTTCGTCACACAGATATGACTGATTCTGATACATGCAACAATGCAAATATTGGGTCAGGCAAGTATATGTCACTATTCTTTATTATATCCACTCTTTTTCACAATGCTAAATGACATTTAAGGGTCAAAAACACCAAGAGAGCCAGTGATTCAGTTGTTTTCATTCTTCCTGCAAACATACCTTCTCTATTGAATAGAAGTGTTGACGGGAGGCAGGCAGGTGCACACGCCATGCCTTTTACGCAGCCATGCCTTTGTGATTCATGCAAAACACAGTTTGCATGAAGGGAGTACGTTGGTAGTTTGCTCCAAAATCCCGGATTGCTTTTCAGTGTACTGGTAAAACTTTGAATTATTTTACACACCCTAAGTAGCGAACAGTCCAAAACACTTCCTGTTCTTTCATTAAGGAGCACTGTTTTAAGAGACTTCACAGTTTTCCTCATGTTTTATCAGCGTGCTGACCTCAGCAGTTTGGTGTATCAGCTTGTCAGCTTGCTTGTCACGTGCTTCATGATGTTGTGATGTGGACATTTCTGTGCTCTTTGTGCAGAGGAGGTTTTTTTTGTTTTCTGTTCTCATGCTGTCCCCCCATAGGAGCCCAGCATGAGTAGAGGTCTCTTTTTCCCCCCTCCTCGTCTTGCCCATTGTAGTGTACATTTCAGTGTTTTTCCATAATACTACCGGTCTCTGACCTGTCTCCCCATGTGATGTCTGTGTTGTGTATGTAAGGTCAGGGAGGGTCCCATTTTGCTGCAGGGGAACTTGCATGTGACAAATAAAGGCTTTCTTGACTCGACTTGACTCTTGAAATACAAGTTAAAATGCATTTGGAAATCACTGCTTTCTTCCTTTATGTGAATTTTCCATCTAGTTTTCTGAGCTGGGTTGTATCCCAGCTTTTTCCACATCTATCAGGAACAAGATAAAGTATATTAGTGTTTTGCTCTTAACCTGTCACAGCTCTCCTGAATCCTTGCTGGGTGTCAACAACTGCACATCTGTTGTTGCTCTTTTTCACCCAAAAGGGAATAGCAATTCCACCTCAACGGGGTAGTGATCGCTCACCCTAAGGGCCTGTGGGAGGATTTGTGTATAAAATGAAAAATAGAAAAGCAAAATAGCCATTCACGTGCATATCAAGAAGAGGGATAGATCAGATAGCTCACCGTTTCTTCTGTCATTTGAAACTCTTTGTGAAAGTTAAATGGTTTAGCTGAGTTTGGCACAATGGCTGCCAGCATATCTTCTCCATACACAACTATCCTGTGGAAGATGTGCATTCATTCAATTCATGAATTCATATAACTGTGCAGTTGTGGTTAGACATTTACATACAGTCATCATGGGTATAAATGTTATGATAATTCTGGGCTTTCAATAATTTCTTTGAACTCTTCATTTTCCAGGGTGCAATGATTGTGCAGCTTAAATCTGGGAGAAACTACCAGTTGTAGTTGATTGTGACCACTAATAAGAAATAAATTCAAACGTATGCATCCAATTCTTCTTTCTTTTTTTTTAATCATTAAAGATGTATGCTGTATAATTATTCCATCCTGGAAAAAAACACTTCAAATAAATCAATAAAAGCCAAACATTACATTGACATTCATGCCCTCAACGAGGGCAAATAAACTTCTGACCACAATTGTATATCTTGCCACAAATCTTTCTAACAAACCTGTCATAAGCGTGATGATCACTTGTTTTTGCCCTGGTGTCCACGTTATCACCAATCAGTCAGTAAGAGTTCTTGTCACTGCGAATGTGGATCTCCTCCCTTTCCTTGGATGAGAGATACCAGCCATCTGCCCTGAAGTCTCCCAGGATCATTACATTCTAAAGGAAATTAAGAAAACAAAAAACAAAAACGCAGCTTTTCAGGCTAATACAACTTTAAATATCCCTAAAGAAAATATGAAGACACTGAGTGATAATTTACAGGTTGTGCAATAGATGTGATTCCTCTGACCTGATATCTCTGTCTCTATATATCTTTATCTATGTGTATCACAACTCAACAGTTGACTTGACTCCAATAACATCCTCTGTAGTTACATACTGTAAGTTAAACATATTTCCCTGCTCACACAAGACACTAAACCTGATAAACCTGCTGCAGTCTGCTGTAATTAGCATGTCACGCTGCATCAGACTCATTCAACAAACAGATCCACGGTTAAAAATGACTCGTACATACTGCTGATGTCCCAGCAACTGACTAACATGTACACACACAGACCTAACTCCTTGTTCTGACTGAACCAGGTACGATAAGCTTCAGTAGGGGCAAAGATTGACCTGTGTTATAAGTTTTAAAGTAGAGAATATAGAGCTCTCTTTTAAATGCATCCACATCATCGACCTGGTCATCCTTGTACTGATAGCAATCGATAAGGTCGACCACATCGTCCCTTCCAGCAGGACAAAAAAATTATTCTATAGAGCTGTTCAGCTTTACAGTATGTGGGATTATTTGAGCTTGCCTGTACAGAAACAGGAACTGTTCCTTGTATCTGCTCCTTCCCAGACGGGTACTGAGCTGCTGAGCATAGTGATGGGTGATGCTGACCCTGAGATGTGGACAACAGTAAAAGTAAGCATACTTATAGGAAGAGACAGTTTTACTTTAGTCAGAAAATCTTTTTTTTTTAAAGTAAATTCACCCGTTCAGCTCTTCCACTAACACTCTAACAGAATCTCCAGTCACATTCACCACCTCCAGAATAACTATGATGTCATATCAAGACACAATCTACAACAAATAAGCTTTGTTAATAAAAGAAGTGCAAACAGTGTTATTGTTTTGTTTTTGTTTGTTTGTTGTTGTTTTGGGGTTGTCTTGAATCAATGATAATGAAAGCAGAAGAAATGAGAAGCGATTTTCTTTTTTACTAACCCTGATAATGCACCTGGCTACTTCCCAGTTTTCATTTTCACACTTGATAATGACTGTTTCCCAACACTCATGAGTGAGTGACATTGACAACAAATTTCCAAAGAAGAAATGCATTACACATGTTTTGTGATGTGTTGACTCTGTACACAGCGTCCTCATTTAAAGAGTTCATATCAGCCATTTCATTCTTTGGTTTGCCTCGCTAACGCCAAGGAGAAATGTTTTACCTTAACCAGGCTTGTCAGGACCGCTGGATCTGAGACCTTAGTCAGTCCAAACCTCTGTGCATTGAATGAAGCAATCTTCATTTCTGTCAAAGGAAGACCTGAAGGAAATATTCAGTGTCATGCAAAAAGCATTTTAAGTATACGCATGACGCTCACTCTGTTCTCTTGACTTTATTCAGCTCTGATGAAATGTTGAGCGGGTGGCACAGATTCAGTGTCATACAAACAAACCCTTATAAATCTGGTTATGTGAGAACATTTTTCCTTTGTACAGTAGTTGTTTGCTTAAAGGAAAGCGATGATTGGATAATTGGACGCGCAGGGAGAGAGGGAGGATTTGAAAAACAAACAAGAGAACAGACAGGTTTCCTTTTTTTTAGTACAACTGGTTTCTATTAACATTAGTGAAAAGACATTTAATTTAAGTGTGGTAAATTTTTAAATCAAACTATTTTCCTCTTTTGTTCCATGGGATAATAATGTGTACTTTATTGATCCCAGTGGGGAAATTACTCCCTCTGCATTTGACCCATTCACTCAGTGAAGCAGCGGGCAGCCACACCGGGGAGCAGTGTGTAGGGACGGGACCTTGCTCAGGGGCACCTCAGGGTAGCCGTTCGGTGAATTCGAACCCCCGACCCTGCCCCATGGTTGATAATTTGTAATCATAACTGTCATCATAACTGTGTCAAATTTATCACAGCACAGAGGCAGCAGCAGTGGAGATCAATCAAAGATAGAAATAAAGAAATACTTTAGTCCATAATAACCAAGTAAGGAGCTTCCTGTTAATGAGTGGAGTGTGTGAGGTTATGAGGGCGTAGTTAGTTGGTAAGGTTTTCCTTGTACTTTTTTGACTTTACTCTCTTACAATCATATTTACTAGTTTAGTACCTCAAGAAGAAAAATAACAGTTTTCCAGAAAATTTGTGACTTTTTTTTATTAAACGTACTACTAGAGTTTCAGGACTTCAGAGTTTCTCTTTCAGTTAAGGGAGGTTTTACGAGGTCCACTGATGTGCATGTAGTTTCCAGTGTGTAATGCATATTATAATATTTGGGAACATTTCCAAAAGTAACATTGCCTACTGAAAGAATTTTCTGCATATACTGACTTAAATTTACATTAAAAACTTGTGGCTCTGCAGTTCATTATGTTAAATAAAATCTTTCTTTATTCATAACAGGGAATGTTTTATTTTTCTTGATGACTTCTTGATTTACTGAGTTTTCAGACTGTGTGAGTGCAGACTTTTAGTTTGTTACGGAACTCACCTGAAGCTGTGGAGCAGGAATAGTTTCCTGTTGCATCTTTAAAGTGAGGGGTAGGTGGGAGAGCACGAGGTATGTGTCAGACTGGTTTACCCACATTCAATCACTTCACTATCACAACACGCCCAGTTCTGCCTTATAAAGCAGCCAAAAAGATAAAACGTGCACAACAGAGCTATACCACCACTTCTACCAGCTGAGCTCCCCATCCTTTCCAGCAGTGCAAACTCAACAGCACCATGAGTCTGAGGAGCAAGCGGAAGAGCCTGCTGAACTCACCTTCAGGGCGATTCAGCAGTAGTTCCATGGCATCCAACTCCATCCGCCAAATCAGCACCGCTACCGATATCAAACCAGTAACAATCGACAGGAGCCTGCTTGCCCCACTAAACTTAGAAGTTGATCCCACCGTCCAAACTATACGCACCATGGAGAAAAATCAGCTGAAGACTCTTAACAACAAGTTTGCATCCTACATCGAAAAGGTAAGAGGAAATTTTACTGTCACATTTAAAATCTTTTTATTATAAACCATTAAAGTGTCGTTGGGTAACTTGAAAGGCACTCATAAATAAAATGTATTATTATTATTATTATTATTATTCCAAGTTAACTCGGTGGCATTTGAAGCTTCTTTTAAAACCTAAAGTGGGACTGTGTTGGAATTTGTTCGTATCCCTTCTCGTGTGTCAGGTCAGACAGCTGGAGCAGCAGAACAAAGTGCTGGAAACCAAGTGGAAGCTCCTGAATCAGCAAAGCGCCCCCTCCTCTGATGATGCAGAGTCCATTATTAAGACGTTCATTTCCAACCTGGAAAAACAGCTGGAGCTTTGCAGACACGATAAAGTGAAGCTTGAAAATGAGTGCACAGCCATGCTCGAGACTGTGGAAGACTACAAGACTAAGTAAGGTATCCTGGTGGAAGAAATCAAACCACTGCTTAACAGGAGCTCAGCTTTGATATATGATAATAAAGTGGACAGTGATAAGAACTCTGTTTGTGTGTGTGTGTGTGTGGGGGGGGGTGTCTGTCTGTGTGTAATTTGATATTTGTGGGTGTTTCAGGTACGAGGAAGAGATCAACTGCAGGGCCACTTCAGAGAATGATTTTGTACTGCTCAAAAAGGTGCAGTATGCAATGACACTAATACTTTTATTTGTGAGTAATAAAAAAAAATAGCAGTGAAAAGAAAAGTTGTTTATTTATTCTGTTGCCTCCAGGATGTGGATGAAGAAATTATGAGAAAGGTGGATTTGGAAAGCCAGTTGACAGCTATTCAGGATGAAATCTTGTTCCTCAAAGAAGTGCATCAGATGGTAAACAAGCTTACAGTAAAAACCTTTTCAGAATTTAAATCAGTGAATTAAATTAGGTGTCATATTCTGGATTTTTTCCTCTTAACTTTCGCTGTATGTGTTGTTTTAAATAAGGAGCTGTATGACATGCAGCAGCGTGTGAAGGACACCTCTGTGGTGGTGCAGATGGACAACTCCCGCAACCTGAACATGGACCACATTATAGCTGATGTTAAGGCTCAGTATGAAGAAATTGCTGCTTACAGCCGTGAAGAAGTTGAAAAGTGGTACAAGAGCAAGGTGAAGGTCTAAGATGAATTCTTGCTCATTACTGTTGATGTAATAAACCAACTAGGAAAATGGGCATAGAGACATGAAAAGGGCTCAGAAGTTACCGCTCATAAATCTACTACAACGTCAAAACGGCATTTGTTAACCCAATAATTACTGTGTTTATATCCTTGTCTCGCTGTTTGATATTTTTCCACACCAGTTTGATCAGATGAAAGTGCAGGTCCAGCAACATAACAGCGAGCTGCAAAACACTAAGACCGAAATAGCTGAGCTTAAGCGAATGATTCTTCGTCGGCAGACTGAGATTGATGTTATGAAGGAACAGGTGAGTGAAGGGCTTTAAAACTACCTCATAGTCTGTTTGATCTTAAACTGGATTTTAACAAGTATCAAGAGGAACAACAGGTTTAGCTCCTGTTCTCATAAAAAGAAAGGAAACTGAAAACAAATCAAAGGAAACATTTTTTCATCTTGAACTGACAGCTAATTGCATACATTTAGTTATTGTTAGCTGCTCTGAAAAAGCAGTTTGGTTTTCCTGTTACCATAACCCACACAAAACCCCCCAATTTTTACAAAATCGGGGCGACCGTGGCTCAGGGGGTTGGGAAGCGGATCTGTAACCAGAAGGTTACCGGTTCGATCCCCGGGCTCTCTGTCCTGGTCGTTGTGTCCTTGGGCAAGACACTTTACCCTCCCGCCTACTGGTGTTGGCCAGAGGGGCCGATGGTGCGATATGGCAGCCTCGCTTCTGTCAGTCTGCCCCAGGGCAGCTGTGGCTACAACCGTAGCTTGCCTCCACCACTGTGTGAGTGTGATTGAATAGTGGCATTGTATAGCGCTTTGGGTGCCTTGAAAAGCGCTATATAAATCCAATCCATTATTATTATTAAAATCATCAGGAATCACTGTGAAGCTCAGATTTAAATATTTAAAGCTTTTTCTCTTTGTCAGTATTCCCACAATGAGGTAAGCATATCTGATATGGAAGAGCGAGGGGAAGCGGCTGTAATAGATGCAAAAAGCCGCATTAAGGACCTTGAGGCGGCTCTGAGGCAGGACAAGCATAACATGGCCAAGCAGCTCAGAGACTACCAAGACCTCATGAATGTCAAGCTGACCCTGGATATCGAGATCTCCACCTACAGGAAACTCCTGGAGGGAGAGGAAGAAAGGTAAGCCAGCAGAACTTAGGAGGTTGCTGGCAACAATGTGTTAAGGAAGAAAATGGATGGATGGATGAATGGATGGATGGATGAATGGATGGATGGATGGATGACCATTGATGTAAGGTTTCAGCTTGGAAACTGTCTACAGTGATTCAGAAAATGATTAAAACATATTAATCATTACTGATATTTTTGGTTGTATGAGCTACTGTACGTGCATACCATCTGTCATCCGACAGTTTAGATGGAAATTGGGTGTGGTATAGAAAAACAAAAAAACACCACCTTGAGCAAAAGCCTCAGTCAGAAACAAGAAGTTATTTGTTTGGTTTGGTTGTTTTTAATAGTTTCACAACCACATATTTGTCTCACTATTCAAATAGTTCACCTCGGTGTGTTGCATTAAACAATAAAGAACTGAGCCCAGGGGTGGAATGCAGCAAACACCCACAGGTATTTGACAACTGGTGGTAACTGCAGTCGTAGAGCAGAGCAGCCTTTCAGGTGCAAGTTTGAAAGACAAATCTACATCCAATCTGCAAAGCCCAATCCACATCCAGAACCAGAACCAGACTTTGACAAGTAACACATAGATGAGATTTATGGTTTATTGGAAGTCTGTCTTCCAGTTTTATGGCAGGAAAAAAACAAACAATTACTTTGGGTAATTTGGTTTATCACTTGTCTTTCTTTGCTGGATCTTAAACATGAGACAGGTTTATTGCACAGCTCCCTCTAGAGCCACAAAGGGCTTTGCAACCTTCACTTGAACAACCGTGTGAATTACCAGTACATGCCCTGTAATGTATTTCCTGCTTTCACCCTGACAGACTTGGTAAAGACTCTGTTATCAGCATCCAAACAGTGCCCAACAAAAGTAAGTACAGTACTGTATTTTACAAATAAAGATGAGATCATCTTAATGACCTTCATCTCGGGGATCAGAGTGACACCCTCTTCTCTCTTTTTTCTGTCTTCTTTTCAGCAGCTGTTGCCAGTAACGACTGTGTTGATGGCACTGAAAGAGTGTTCAGTGTCCAAACAGTGCCCAACCGAAGTAAGTACAGCACTGTATTTTACAAATAAAGATGAGATCATAACAATAGCCTTCATCTCAGAGATCTAAGCGACGCCCTTTTCCGACTTCTCCACAGCTGTGCCCGTTACCATGCAGAGACAAAGGTCAGGTCCTGTTCTCATCAAGACAGTGGAGACCATGGACACGACATACACCGAAGGCAAATAAAACGCAGCAGTGCTCTGAACTGACCGATTGCTACTTAAAACTACCCTTAAATTAATCTGTTTTCAAACTGCTGTAACCTCACTGTATCAAAAGGCCATGTGTATCTGTGTCTCTGTTTTTCGTTTCCTTGTGATTCTGTCACATTAAATTACAAATTGTACTCAGCAACTGTAAGACGTTTGTTAGTTTGCTCTATAGATGTTCCTAATAACTATTAAAAACTATTCTTTTTATTGTTAGATCTTGCTGCACAGCTGTTGTTCTGATGTGTCTCTTATAAAGCATAAGGAGAAAATAGCTTCAAAGCTTTTACATTTTTTTTAATATGCACTAGATGGACCCAAAGATATTGGGTCACAACTTTAAATCTCTAAACTGAGGTGTTTTCAGTGTCATTGCCACAGGTATAGTCCAAGTCGTTTTAAGGAGCTCACTTCAGCTGTGTTACTGTAACAGGATGACACTGTTGCAACAGGTCGGTTTGTTAAAGTTTGTACCTATTACGCAATCAACTGAAAGAGCTTATTGCAAAGGGGAAGTCTAATTTCAACACGGTTTTTTTTTTAACTACAGCTCAGTGCAGCTGGTGCATTTCACATAAGTCTCAGACCGCTTTGAGTGGACTCGAGTGCCACAAGCTGGATGGACTGTGTTTGAGTAGCCAGCTAAAAATACAGTGCAGGGAAAAAAGAATTTGGGCCCTTTAGTTTTGTTTGGGGTTTTTTGTTTTTTGTTGCACTTTTATGCTTCACATCATGTATTAAGAGAGAAAGCTATCCAAACCTACCTGCCTCTAAAAATGAAGCAAACTTGAACTTCAGGACCTTGATGGCTAATTGGAAATTTGAATTCTGCTCTCTATCAGAAAATCCTGGAGTTGACTGTCCACCCATCAGTTAATGCACTGAAGCTCAAGCACACACACCCATACACACCAGTGTAATTCTAACACCCATAATACTATATTGTATATTTATATATTTTTTTCCAAACATATGTAGGTTTTGTTTTGATATGTGAATTTGAAAAGCATGCTAACAAAAATAAAGAGGGGAAAACCTTTGTTTTTTAAAAGTAAACATACATTATTAGCTATTAAGCAGCACAAAATACATACGGTAAACTAAAAAACACAAGTAGGTAAATGTTTTGAAGAGTTGGCCAAGCTCTGCCGTCTGTAAGACACAGATGCATTTTGAAATCCCACAGCGCTCTTCCTACTTTCAGCTAACCGCTATTTAACTGCGATCATGGCAGCCCTCCTGTTATTTTGCGTTATTTTTTATACTGGGTATTACGGTAAGAGAACCCGAGATATGATTTCAAAATAAAAGCAATCTTCCGGTGAATGTGATTCCAAAGAAAGTAATAAAAGTTCTTAACTTGACACTGATTTACACCGTGAGGGTGTACGGTTCATAAAGAGAAATTAGTATTTGGAAACATCGAGTTTACTTGTTACGGCTTTACAAGTCTTTAGAAATCTTCATTTTTAAATGTTTGTATAATTAAGAATTAATATAGTAGTAAATTTGTTATATTTAAAAATGTATTTATTTAAAATTATTGTTAAAATGTATTTATTTTGAAATCGCGTCTCAGTTTCTCTTACCGTAATGTCTCGTATATACAACCCAAAACAACGTAAGAGGAATGGCTTGAGGGATTAGTTAGGGTGTGACTTCTTCTTTCCTTTTTTTTTTCTACCAGTATACCACAGAAGAGCCACTGCGCTCGTGTGTTTTGGTTTGTTTTCCAAAAGCACCGTATCCAAGGCAACTATTTCTAGTTGTGTTTATTGTACTTTTCTGTAAACACGTGAGCTGAGTTGTCACAGCTGGTAAGTAGTTTAACACACTGGAAATTATTAGTGGACACGGATGATATGTTGCCTGTTCTTGCACGCTTTAACCAAATTGTTTAATTCTGTCTTCTGGTTTATACATACAGAGATTAACGCAATGGACAAAGACTCCGTGCTAATTCATATCCTGAAGTCAAAGGGCACTCCTACGCTCCTTGGTGGAGACCTGCCTTTCAGAGTCATAAACGACAATAAGTACATATCCCCACTCTCTGCAGAAGGCGAAGTGAGAGAGGAAAACTTGCCCACCGTGGATCAAGCCATCCACACAGCCCTGAGTGGTGAGAACAAAACTGTTATCCTGATAGGCTCAGAAGGATCAGGTAAAACCACTACTGTGGAGAAGCTCGTTGTGGACTGGGCAAAGGGTGTACATCTACAGAACTTTGAATATGTCTTCCATTTCCGTTTCAAGGACTTAAATGCTTGTGAAGATGCACTCTCTTTAGAAACCTTAATCCAACGCTGTCACCACTATTTCCCTCCTCAGTCCATGCATCTGGTTCTGCAGAAGCCCGAGGATGTGCTGGTTGTTTTTGATGGTCTGAATGAGTGTAAGTACAGCCTGGACCCCTCTGTGCTCACCCTCTGCTCTCACCCGACCCAGGCAGTTTCAGTGGACTGTTTAGTGGCCAGTCTGCTTCACAGATCTCTGCTGAAAGGAGCTGCAGTTGTGTTGGCCACCAGGCCAACGGCGAATCTGAAGTTTCTTAGCGGTTCTCAGGTGAAAGTGTTAGGGTTTCTGAAGCCCCAAAGAAAAGCTTTCGGAAACTGCTTCTTTACAGATGCTGCTGCCAACAAAGCACTTATGCACATGGAGAGGTCTCTGGGCTTTTATGATTTCTGTACATCTCCAAGATTTTGTTGGACAGTTTGCTCTGTTTACAAGCCTCTTATTGATTCTGGAGGAAAACTTCCCGAGACTTTATCTCAGCTGTTTGTAGATATCCTGGTTGGCTTGATCCAGACGCTCTCGCTGAGTCAAGCAGAGGGCACAGAGCTGGTGTTGGCCCTCGGCAGGATGGCTTCTCATTGCTCTGTTGAGCAGCATTTGAGCTGCACCAAAGCGCAAATGTATTCCTTTGGCTTTCAACAGTTTCTCACCTCAGTTGATACTTTCCTGCGAATAGATGGTGAAATGGAGTCTGATACATGTGTGCTCTCGTTCCACTCGCAGCTGATCCAGGAGTTCATCCTGGCATTGTCTTTCTTTTTGGGCAAGATGACGTATACGAGTGCTGAGAAGATGCTGAAGAAGCACGAAGATGGTACAAAGTTTCTAGATGTTTTCCTTTCAGGGCTTTCTGAACCAACTCAGCGCAGACCACTGGAGAACTTCCTGGGAGAGTTCAACCCTGATCGGGTCAAAGATTTTAAGCAGTGGTTTAAAAGCAGCTCAGAGGAATCACTGCAGGGATATAATGCAGACGAGCACTATAGATGCTTCCGCCTGCTTCATCAAGCTCAAAATGAGAGCTTGGTTAAGGAGATCATCAACTCCTCAGCACGAATAGGCCTCAGCTATGACAGCCTGACCCTTCAAGACTGTGTACCTTGGAGTTATGTGGTTACATGCCTTGGTGGGACGAAGTCGTTGAATCTGTACAATACAAAGAATCTAACAGAAGAGATGGCAGAAGTCCTGGCTCCAGCTATGAGTCTATCACTCAAGATAGTGTAAGACAGGTTTAGGTAAAATTGACATCATTTGATTCATATGTTCAAAGTGCATTGATTGTTGCTTTAAACTGTGCTGTCCACCCGCCAGCTTGCAAAGAAGCTTTTTGAGTACTGGGGCTGTTCCTCATCTCGCTTCAGCTCTCAACAGAGGAATTACCACGGAGCTGGATCTCTCTTACTCCCGCCTTGGTGACGAAAAGTTCAAAATCCTCTGCACTGGACTCAGAGACTGCAAGATACAAGAATTATGGTAAGAATTGCCCTTTTTTTTAAGCAATCTTTGTTTTTAAAATTGGAAGAATGATTTACCTGCTTTGGGTTTTAGTCTTCAAAGTTGCAATCTGACAGAGGAAAGCTGTGAAGACCTGGTTTCTGTGCTGACCTCAGGCACCTCTCAGCTATGCTTGTTAGTAATGTCATTCAATAAGATTGGGGACCAGGGATTTGCAAAACTGTGCGACGCACTGCATAGCCCTCACTGCAAACTTCAAGAACTCAAGTATGTACTTCAATAGTGTAGTTTTCATTAAAACTTTTGTATCCTGTCTGCTTTTATATAAATCACTGACATACACACATAATTATTGTTTATTGAAAGGCTTGACAGATGTGATCTGACTGAAGCGTCCATGAAGGTTTTTTCTGCAGCTTTGCGTTCTGGACAATCAGAGCTGAAAAAAGTGATACTGGCACGAAACACGATGGATGACAGCGGAGTGGAGGCTTTGTGCGTATCCCTGCAACATCCACTCTGTAAACTACAGAGCCTCAAGTAAGACTGTTTAAATAAAACTGCATCTGTAGATTTTTTTTTTTTTAAAATGTAAAATATAAGAACACAAAAATCACACCCCTACATATTTTTCTGCCTTTTAACTTTTCTTTTAGTCTCTATACGTGCCAGCTGACAGGCGCATGCTGCTCTCATCTGAAGGAGGCCTTAATGTCGGAGTACTGTACTCTATCAGAGCTGGAGCTGTCAGTGAATGAGTTAGGCCAGGAGGGGGCGCTGTTGCTCTGCCAAGCCCTGAGACGGCCTGGTTGCCCTTTAGAAAAACTTGGGTAGACTCATTTGTATTAACTTTTTAGTGACCTTTCTCAAATATTTAGTGAATTTCAGATAACAGCATTGTGTGCTTTGCCCCACCCTACAGTTTGACACGATGTGAGTTAACTCGACCAGTCTTTGAGGAACTGGGCTCAGTGCTGAAAAGTGGGACTTCTCAACTGAAGTCCCTGAGCGTGGGTTTAAATAAAGTAGGAGACCAAGGGGTTAAACATCTCTGGGATGCTGTTGCACACCCAAGCTGCCTGTTGGAAGAGCTGGAGTGAGTTGAAAAAAATGATGTGATCATAATCACCACATTATAGTCCACTACATTTAAATGTTGGTCTGTTTGTTTTGTAGTGTTGAAATGACCCAGCTGACCAATGCCTGCGTTGAAGACTTGTGCACTGCAATAAGAGCCAGTAAGACACTGAAGAAGCTGGAAATGAGAAACAACTCACTGACCGATGCTTCCATCCCAGCACTTGTCCAAGTCATGCAGGACAGCCACGGGATGCAGGAGATGAAGTAAGCGCGATTCACTTTAGTTAATAACGCTTAAGCCAGAGTGTGCACACGAAAGAAAATTAAGTGTCTAACCACTGCTGTTGTTTCTAACTCTTTCAGCCTGAAGTACAATGATTTCAGCGAAGACCTTTTTGAGATGTTGGAGAAGTGCACGAAAATAATATACTGAAGAAGCTTGACTCAGATTGCTTAAAAATTACTTTAAGTTTTGTTTTCTAAGTATTATTGTTGATTATTATAAATGTTACTCATAGAGATTTTTGCTTGCTACAGCAGTGAGGACAGGAAGGTTGTAACGCGTACGCATGTTTATACGATGAATCCCAACAGTTCCAAAATGTTCCTACCATTTACTCTTCCAATAAAATATATTTAAATTATTATGGTTATGCTTTCATCATATGAAATAAGGCAATGTGTGAAGACAGTTTTCACAGTCAAGACAGTAGTTTTCGTTCTACACTCATTACAGTATAAAGAATGAAAGAAAATCACCACTGGATTTGATGCAAATGTTTTATTACGAAATCTTTGGTTTTTTTGAATCAGGACATCTTTGGCATTTGGAATTGTATTCTAAAGCCTAACTCAGTAAGGCAAATGACGTGATTTCTTCTTTCATTAGTCAAACATTTTACCAAGTTTCAAAATAGAAATTATTGACATGTACATATGCAGCAGTAGCCGTGTGAGCAGTCATCCATTTGGTGCTGTTTAGTGTAACTTTAAGAACACACACACACACACACAAACACACGTTGCTGTCCACTCCTGTAAGCAAACAGCAGATGTAAACTTCACACTATAAAAGTCTGTATGCCAAAACTGGAGTTCCTCTGTTCAGGTCCTCCCTCTGTTTGAAAAACACATTTTTCTGAGTGGGCAACAGTTCTTCTCAGAAGGTCACAGTGACACGGTGGGTTTCACAGGCACGCTGGTGAATGAAGGCCACACTGGAAATAAAATATCCCCTCTTTGGTACTCAGTGGTCATGAGCTTCTCCATTAAGGTTACTGGTGCGACTGTTTCCCTTGAGGGTTTGGTTCCGGCTTGGGTCTGTACTGCTACAAATCTCCTCTTCTGAGCTGCTCTCTACGTCACTGCGATCGTCTTTCGCCACCTGTAAAAGCAGTATTTAACTACTAGTTATGAATCATGGCTTAAAAACTGAACCTTATGCTAGCTCCAATGTGAGACTATAAGTACCCTAATGAATTTGAGCTGATGTTAAGCGAGTAATGTTTACCATGGTCACATCATTGCTAATGTTATCTGATTAGCATGATAGAAAAACTGAGATACTGAGGGATCTTGGTGCTAGATTAAATGTGGCTGTATTACAAACAATAGCACAGTTTAGCCTTAGTATCAAATACTGAAATTGACAAAATGTGACAGGATACAAGAGGGGAGGGAAACCCAGCTGCCTTGGTTAAATGTGAAAATCAATTTCCACAACCGATCCCAAAACTAACCTTTCCCCTGAAAATGGCTTTGATGGCAATGCCCATGATGAGGTAGAACCAGATAATGTGAAGGCACTGCAGGACCAGCAGCAACCCATTCAACAGCCACCAGGCCCGATAAGGCCCGGCAATCTCCCAGCTCTCAACCAGAACACTGTGAATAATCCTACAACAAAAACATGCAGATTTTTAGCAGATGTATCTGTATATAACAGTTAAGAAAATAGTAATAAACAGGTGAGAAGATAACAAGAGTTTTACAATAAATATAAGGAAGAAAGCTCTTGTTTTTCCTCACCAGAAGGGAAAGATGACAAGTCGACAGATGAAAAAGCTTATGCTGAAGAAGACAAAGAGGCCATCACATAGCCTCTGGTACTTGGCATAGTTTGCCATCTTGGCTGCCTTAGGAATAAATAATACATTAGGGATTAATAATAATAATAATAATAATAATAATAACAATAATAACAATAACAACAACAATAAGAATGATAAGAATAAAACCCACTGTTGTAATATACACCAGTGTCATACTGTTACTGTAATGTCAATACGTTGTTTCTCTGTAAAACTGGTAGTACAAGTATCTCACATCACAGCTTCTGTGTTCCTAGCTGTGTTTACATACATGTTGGATACCTACACGGGCAGCCTTGCTGAGTTAAGCCAAGAGCCCTCTTTACCAGGATCATGTCTAACATCTAAAAATCTAAAAGATTTACTTTACCTCGAGGAAGATGTCAGATGCATCATGCACACACATGACCATACTGCCAGCTCTTATCATGTTGTTGCCATAAGAGAAAGTGATGAGAAGTATGGTAGCCAGATGGTGGACAAGCATAATCACGAAATCCTGCCATCAGAAAAACAAATGTAGGTAACAAAAGAAAGGTACCGGTAATGAGGTAGAGAAGACGTTCATGTTACTGGCACATTAAATAATAGCATATTAACTTGATATTATGGACGCAAGAATGCAGTTTATCATACAAAGTGAAAATACTGGAATGGCAGCGTAGGGCGTAGAGTTACATGTATTTGAACAGTCATGTGTATTTGAACCTGAAGTTTTGATGAAACTGATGGTTCAAAAAGCCAACATTTGGCCCACTTTTAAACAGTGCAGAGAATCAGAAGTGAAACATGAGTTCACACGATGGTGTAAAAGCAAATCACTATGTGAATCTGAGGATGAATTAGCTTGTAATTCAAGTTGTTTAGCTTTTCTGTTGAGTTCTCACTCTGCTCATGTAGGCATTACTATTGTCCATTTTTAGAGTTATGTGCACACATCTGTAGCTAATGAGAATATATGCAGAGTCTATAAAGTTCAGTTTGTCATTTTTAGTTTGTTTTTACATAACGATAGATGTTAAACTTCCACCTACTCCCTATCAGGCTTAAAACATTTGTTTAGACTGTCACAAATTTGTGTTTGTCTGATACCAACCTCACTGATGTAGCTCATTTTTGTACTTTATTTTGAACACAAACAAATTAAATAAACCATTCATCTATTTAACACACTCCAGCTATTCATCCAACCAAGCATGTCTTTGGACAGTGGAAGGAAATCGTGTACGTACAGTATTGTAAATCCATGCATGTGTTCTCTGTGCCTGCAAACTCCACACATAAAGGCCCTAACTGGCTAGCAAGGTCCAAGCCCAGAACCATATTGCTTTGAGGCACCATGCCTAATCCAATTATTTCTTCTTCTTCTGTCAGTCACTACAGTGGATCATCTCTCATCCTTTCCCATCTTGCCCTTTCCTTTGTACCGCCTGTCACACCAACCCTCTCCTTCTCTACATTCATAAGCCTTCTCTGTGATCGCTCCCTATTTCTATTCCCTGGCAGCTCCATTTTTAATATCCTTTGTCTAATATAACTGTTATCCCTAACCTGCAACTGCAACCAATTTCAAAATTTAGCAATGCCACACAACTACATTTACCACTTTAAATCCATAAAGTGGGAACACATGTTCCAGATTTGTTGATTAGAACCTGCTTAGGTGGTAACAGGAGGAATCTCTTATTTAAACCTCTTATTTAAACCTTTGACATCTAGAATCTTGTGTTCTTTAATTATTCACTTTTAGTGTGCGGTCTTACCATGCCATGATCTAAAAAGCGTTCTTAAAAAGTTTTCACTACAAAGGCTGGATTCCTTCAAGTCTGACAAAGGAAGAGCTCCAAATCATTTGGCATAAAGCAATCACCTGTAAGGAAAATCCTTTACAAGTGGCACAGAATAAAAACAGCTTTTAGCATATGAAGCTCATCCCAAATCTAAAGCGTGGCACAGAAGTATCATAGTACTACAGCTTTGCAGTTATTAATTGCTCTTTAAATTCTGCATCATATTGTGCTTAAAGAAAATGGAAATGCCCACGAGCTGAGGTGGACCTGGAAGGTGCCCTTTTAAAGGGCAAAAGGATCCTCAGCACACAAATGCATCAAATGGGTAGTTTACAAAGAAGAAATAGAGGGTTATGGAACGGCCCACAGTCAGGAAGAAAAATGAAGCTCCCTGAAATGTTGCAGGCAGATTTGAAATAGGCTGTAATTTTCTTTGTGGTTGTGTTCAAGCATTTACATCTGTAGACACAGTTTAAAACAAGATCAAATGGTGGCCTGCCCAAACACATGAAAAACAAGCCAATTTCCATGTGATCTACTTATTTTTGAATGTATACTTTATTGTCCTTTTAGCCAGAGCACATAATCAAGATACAATCCTACACGCTTCCTTTAAGAAGAAAAAAAAAAAAGGATTTGGCTTTGATACAAAAGGCAATGTGCATTTATTGAGGCAATTAATAGTTAGTTAGGCCGGTTGTTGTTGGACTCACCTTTCTTTTAATGTCTATGAACTGGGAAAACATCAGAGACCAATAAAAAGCCAGCTCTACAAGATAGTAGCTGTGCTGTTCAGGACTCAGTGGCTTTGGGAGAGAGTGAAAGAAACACACCTTTGATAAATATGTAGCAATACCAACTGACCTGTTAACATTATGGTGGTAAACAGAGTCTCCTTATAATAAAAGTAATCAAATATAATGCGTAAGCAGAAAAAATATTAACCTGAAAAGGGTAGTTCTGCCAACACTCTCTGGTATCCCACATCCACGATGTCTGAAGGAAACAGATTACAAAAACATGCATTATACTGTTGCAGGTTCACCTATTACGAGCCAACGATAAGAACCGCTTCCGTGAACCATAATAGTATTGCAGAGGGCAAAAAGTACATTTTAAACTTACCGACCACAGATGGTTGATGCCATAAATAAAAATCGCCAGGTAAAAAGTGAAACGCCACCTGAAAGGAAAGAGAAGAATAGAAAGACGAATTTAGCATACACCGGAGGCACTTACATATATAAGCACACTCCCAGTGATCATTTTAACATTTACTAAGTAGCACTTAGACTGGCATCTGTAAGGTTTCAAAACCAAAATACTTGGCCTATTTACATTTTTACTTGATGAGTGTATCAAAAGTGATCACCAAGATGGTTAAAATACATTTTAAGAGATATTTTCACTAAATATTATGGCAACCCATCTAGAAAATTCTTGTGAACAACTACTGTCTGCAAAGTATTAAGCTAAGTCCTCAAGCAGATGCTGACAGGCACATTGGATTAATTCTCTGGGGACCGTGGATGCCTGCGCAGCATTTCAAAACAATTTATATGACAGGAGCTTATATGCACGTGCATGGGCTAGCGCTGTTAAATCCCCTCAATTGTTTGTACATTACAAAGCAGAAACCCCTGTAGAAACCTACGTACATGCTCTCACAGAACTTTTTCTGTGTGCTGGGCCTGTCCTGGTTCCGACGGACGCGAAACCATCTCTGTATTTTCCGTACATCCCAGTCCAGCTGCTTGGAGAGTCCCTCCAGTTGCCTTTCATCTGGACTCTAAAGAGGACAAACATAAAATAACTCTCCACTCCTTGTAAAACCACAAAACCAATAGGTATGCCTGTCACATGACAATAGGTATTGACTGAACATATCATTATGACTGTGGCGGTGTGTTCCAGTGCAATAACATCATGTTGCTGCTGCAGTGTGTACAGGGACGTGTAATAGACTACAGAACAAACACGGGCTTTATGTACCGCTTTGGACTGATACAGCCTCTCCAGGATAGCATTGGGCTGAGCTTGCCGAGGCACTCCCGCCTGAATCTGAAGTATGTGGGCACAGGGCTTGGCCACTAGCCTGTATACACACAGACAGAGGGGCAAAAAGAAGAGGGTGGGGAAGCAGAAGTGTATGGTATTAGAAGAGAAAGTCACACAGGGAGAGACTTAGAGAGAGTTGTTTAGTGTCTCCAAGAAAAGCAAAACAAAACAGAGGGTTATCCAACATTTGCTAGGAGATTCCACCATTTACATGAGCTGTGGAGCTTTCACAGTTTGCCCACAGAGTTACGCCTTGCATTCATTTGTTTAAGACGAAGGAAGCATAACAGAAGCTATAGGGGGACACACAAGGAAATGCTGAAATGAAGGGATCCTGAGGAATGTTGCACCTAGCCTAAACAAAGTTCGTCATGTGAGAGTATGGGACGCAGAGTATGGGAAGGATACTCTGCCTACCAAAATGCTCATTTGTGTCACGGGATCATATGGTTGACTCGACCGGTGTTTATTAAATTCATCACACATCAGCCTAAAAACACCCAACATATCTAGAACAGTTTTCACAACACAGAAAAAAGAAGAAAAAAAACCTCTGAATGAATAGCAGCACAGAGTAGACAGGGCTGTCCCTGAATGCTCAATTTCAGACAGTTTCCATGAACCAAAACTAAGCTGAAAAACATGACTTTTAGTGCAGTCGTGAGGTTTGGACAGAGGAAAACCTTGTTTAAAAATCACATAACGTGCAATGCCATTCCCTTAAATGTAATTGTCTCATTCCAGAGTATGCCAGAGGAGTCATTTTAATATACCTCCTACGTAAAGACGTCCTTACCTGCACAGATTCTTTAATTAACCAGATTCTCTCATCGGAAATGTTACTTGAAAGAGTCTAGTTAGCCAGCAAATCAGGTTTTTTTTGCTCAGTTTGAAAATCCCGTTTGTCAAGGAGGGTGACTCATGTAAGGCTTCTCTAACTGGCTCAAATGTAATTGGGGCCATAAACTGCAGCTTCCAGGACTGAACAGTGACGCCAGTGCAGGAGTGCTTTGAAAAACGGGCAAAGTTCATCGGAGTGCACCGCACAAAAACTCTAAAACTAAAGTGTCAAAACAATGCTTCACGAAGCAACGAGTAGCATCAGTGTGTGTACCTTCATCTTTTATATACAGTCTATGAATGAGACTGAAGGTATAATTAATATTAAGGTACCATACCAGCTCTAGCTCTTCAGCTTTGTTATGCAAAAGCAATAAACCAGATCTAGATTAGGAACCAGTACGAGGAGTGATTTGGTTGGAAAGGCGTATCTGTTTTGACTGCCTGGATCAGGACTGGAAGTAGTGACTCAGAATCACAGAGCTACTGAAGAGAACCACTGTTTATTGGCATAATATTGGTACAGAATAGTGTCCATCGCTAGACATTTTATTCAAACAGGAAAACAGGAAGTGAAAGAGCTAGTGAGCAAATCAGAAAGAATGTACCGGTATGATCTGCATCCCCCTCCCTCCAAAAAAACAAAACAAAAAAAAACAGCTTGTTTCTGTTTCTCATCAGCAGTGTCATCACCTCACAACAATGCAAACACAGTAAAATATAAAACTGCCACAGAAGCCAATAAAAATTCTTGCATTCTTACGTATTCTTGTTAAAAAAAAAAAGAGATCTATAATTATCTGTCACAAGAAAAGCCACGTGACAGGATTTTTGTTAACATAGTAGGTCCACAGAGAGTTGCTAGTCTCCAGAGAGAGTGACTCATATATTAAAGTTCATGTAGCAACATTTGTATGGTGCCGTTTGGTGTAATCTTTTCTTTGTAAGTAAAAGTTCTCGAAGACCAATCATACCGGTGCAGAACAAACTAGCGCTACACAGACACACAAAAATCTATTTTACCTTTCAAACAGCAGTCTCAGAAAGTAAACTACGGCAGCCAGAGGGAAGGCATACAGCATGTTCCAGAGTATGGGGTACTCCACGCCAGGTGGTGGATGCTCCAAGTCCGCCCAAGTGACATTTTCAGGAAGCCAAAACCTTTCACTCCAAATCCAGGCTGAGATAAAGGAAGTCATCGGGGAGAAGCAAAACACAGCAGATCAGCAGCAGCAAATGAGGTAACTGAGAGAAAAAACTGCCGTACATGTAGTAGTAGCTCAGGCTAGCTAAAGAAAAACTTAGCAGTCATTCCTCCCTCCTTCTTCCTCTCCCTGCTGTTGTAATAGCAGAACTAAGTTATCTAAGCATCTCTTCTGGTTCACTCCTATGACTAAACTCCACAGACACGTAACAACTATGACTCTCCGAGGTAACACCCACCTCAATTATTATTCACAAAAGTGCTTCCACTGGTTCCGTGCTGCTCGCCGTAACGTCGTGCCTATTGTAGGAGGAGTCAAAGGCAGCTGACGCTAACACGGAGTCGGTTACGCCTCCAATTAGCGGCAAACGTTATTCATTAGCTAATGCTAGGTTAACCATTAAAACTAACTTACTTAGTAGGTTAAAACTAACTTACTAACAGTGGTTAAACGTTCTTACATGGTGGAGTGATTATGTTGGTAAGTTGTAGCAGTTAAAAGGGTTTTTAGCCACATTTAATGCCTCAATTTTAAGTAAACGGGGATAAATGATAGCCGTTTGTAATGCTATCTAAATAACCTAGCTAGAGAGAGAGATGTGCATGCATACACACACACACACACACACA